TGCTTTGACTGTATGAATGTAACTTTGACTGCTGTCAGCTTTTTAAGTTGATCTGGAGCAAAACATCCAACATCTGCTGATCTCATTACTGACAACTAACCCTAATGCAGGAGTAAAACAACTCTGACCGCCATCAGTGAAAATAATACAGTTCCTGTAGACGTAGCTGATGTCATTGCTCGTAATTATTAATGATGAAAGTGTTGGTGTTTTATTCTGCACGTGCTTCCATGTATTAGGATTGATTGCTAGCTTTTAATCTCATCTGCAGACCATTAGAGGTGTCTGTGTAAGTGCTACAGATTAAAATGGTACTGTAAGTAAATGTGCTGATATGGTGACAGTCTGGGGTGTTCTGTGGGGACATTACATGTTTGATCACCATACTGAAAATATGAAAATGGATGGAAGTTTTAATTTCCTAATAATTTAACTGATCTTGGTGTTTTTTTCTTTGGAAAGTTTCTTTCATTTTGTTCTAATCACAGTTTAAACAAAGCTTGAAAAAACATTCTTGACCTTTTTTTGTAATGGAGCAATCCACAAAAGTGTTTGGACCAGCTTCAGTACATCTGCTCATTTCTTTTCATTGTACTCATTACGTGGTTAGTTGAACCTCGGATCCTTGGATATTCTAGAAACAAACAGCCATTTAAAGAATAATCAACACAGAAATCCAAAAGCAGCAGCCAAACAACCCTCGAAACACTTTCTTCAGCATCGGTGTAAAACAACAAGTGAACAGATTTCTTTACTTGTGTCGTTTTGGAGTGACGTGACCAAAAAACACAGCAAGTAATGCCGCTGTTACACCGCATTGTGGGGGTGTATTTTGTTGTGTAACCAGACGCCTTCTTCTTCCTTTTTCTTGGAGCTTTAAGGGAAGGGATGGAGATGTAAACCACAGGAGGGGGGGTAGAAGTGGCGTATAAAACCTAAAGTGGAGAAGGAAATACCCCAGAACCTTTGTTGGGTTAAGGATCGCAGGAGGAACAGAGGGAAGGAAGAGAGTAACCTGCTGTACCTGAACTGGTGCTTTTTGCAGAGGTGAAGACATGCTGTGGTTTCTGGGGCTGACCTGTGTGCTCTGCATAGGAGGGAGCGCTGTTGCAGGACAGAGAGGTGAGAAATACATTTGATATCGGAAGATTAAAGAGCATTAGCAGTAAACATGAGTAAAGGGTAAAGTTTCAGAGTTTTAATTTGAAAGAAACACGAACAATATATGACGACTGATGTGGAGACGCAGCAGAGAAAGAAGGCATAATTTAAAACATTAGAAAATATAAACTGATTTATCCATCTGGGGAAGATGTTACAGCTTTTGGTAGTTTCTGGTGACAGGTTAGTGTTTTCTCAAGTAATTAATCTGATAAATGAAATGTTATTAATGGAAACTGCTATGCAGAACAGCAGAAAGGGGTGTTACATAAGAAAAATGACAAAAAGCTGCAAATGAAATGAATTCAAAGCCAGATTTTATTAAAGTTTTCAATATGATTTTTTTTTTTATTAATTATTATATTTATTTTTAGGGGAGGTAGAGCTTTTTGTTATGAAAAATAAGAAAAATAGTCGGGCAGGAACACAAATTGACTTAAAGGAGCTCAAAGCTCACGAGGGCTGGAAAGTTCTGCGCACACAACGAGGGAAAACAATCATAGTGAGATTCCTGTCGTCCAGGACTCAGCCTCCTTTCCATTAGCAGAGACAGTGATTTATGTCCAGCATCTCTTCTCTCTGCTGTGGAATTCATTCGGTAAACACAGTTGCCGCTAACGAGAAGAACACATTTCCTGCTCTACACGCTCAGGAGATTTCTGCTTTTGGTACCCGGTACTGAACTGACCTGCAAATGGTATTTTTAAAACAACAATAAACGTATGGATACAGTGTGTCGTCGCCTGCATTATTATTCAGACTTATTATCAGGTCTTTTTGTCTTTTAGCCGCACTTTAATGTTTTGCTTCACTCTCACGGCTCTCATCGTTTTATTTATGGCCCCAGCAGGAGGTTGTTTTGAGAGGAAAGCCTCCAAAAAACACATTATAGAATTTGTTCAAGACAGATGCTGTTAGCAGATGAATGTTGTGAAGAATCTCAAAAGCTATATATATGAAGAATCAACTGCTGATCAAAGGTTTGAAAGATCAAATTTAACTAAAAGTTATAAACTGAATTGCTTTCACTGAGTGAAAGTATTTGATCCCCAAGCAAGCAGGGTGTCCAACTCCAGGGCTCAAGGGCCGGTGTCCTGCACGTTTTTTGTGTCCTTAATCCAACACAGCTGATTTTAATGGCTAAATTACCTCCTCAACATGTCTTGAAGTTCTCCAGAGACCTGCTAACTAATCATTTGATTCAGGTGTGTTGACCCAGGGTGCGATCTAAAACCTGCAGGACACTGGCCCTTGATGCCTGGAGTTGGACACCCCTGACTTAGTACTTAGTGGAGAAACACCTGCTGGTAACCACAGCTTTCAGATGTTTCTTGTAGTTGGTCACCAGGTTTGCAGGAGCGATTGTGGCCCACTGTTCTTTACAGAAACTCTCTAAATCCTTTAGGTTCCTTGACTTTCTGTAGGACTGAGGTCTCCAGTCCTTCATGACCTTAATCTACTTTTTCTTTAGCCCCTCCTTTGTTGCCTTGGCACTGTGTTTTAGGTCACTGTCATGATGGAAGATCCATTCACAAACTCTCTTCAGTGTTTGCAGAAAGTTGATTCTGTTCATGTGGATATATGGTTACCTGGATTACTAAGCATGCATTAAGACATCTTCAGTGAGTTCCTCATTCCAGGATTTTATGCTTCATGGCCCCGCCCATTGTCCCCTCAATGCGCTGAAGTCGTCCTGGACCCCCAGCAGACAAACAGCCTCAAAGCGTAATGTTTCCACCTCCACGCTGGACTGTGGGAATGCTGTTCTTTCTCCAAATACAGTGGGTCAAGTTGATGCCAAAGACTTTGGTTTAGTCTGAGCACAGCACTTTCTCCCGAGCCTCCTCTGAATTGTTTACATGTTCACAGATGTAGATGTTAAGACAGGCCTGTACATGTGTCTTTCTGAGCTGGGGGAACATGGAGGCTTTGCAAGTTTCAGCCGATCATGGTGTGGTATATCATCAATGATGTTTGTAGTGTCTGTGGTCCAAGCTTCTCTTGTGTAGTTTTGAGCTGATATGACACCTTTATCATGATCATTGTCAGTCCATGAGGTAGATTCATGCATGGATGCATTAAAGGCAATTAATGGCTATTTTATATTTCTTCCATTTCCAAATGATCCCACCAACAGTTAGCGCCTTCTCAACAAGCTTCCTGCTGATGGAGTTGTAGCTCCTTCCAGCCTTGTGCAGATCTACAATCTTGTCCCTGATATTCTGTCTTTCTCCAATAAATGAAAAATTATAGACTGTTTGTTTTTTTGTGAGGGAGTACATTTACAAATTCAGCTGAGGATTAGATAATTATTTCCCCCACCGTGAAATTTTGTTAACTAGGCTTTGTGAAAAAGTGAGATCAAGTCACTATATGTATCCTCTAAGAGACTATCAATATTATCAATACTGTTTTGGCTTCATCTTATTGCCTCTGAATGAATCAGATTACAGGTTCTTAATTAGAGAACAGAAGTTCTCTAATATATATATATATATATATATATAAAACCACTGAGTTTCAGTTTGACAGACATATTAGACTTTAATATAACTATTCCACAAACATAAAAGTAATTCAAAAACTATATATATATATATTTATATAGATATAAAAACTTATATCTATAAATTAAACTTCCCACTCGATAGTTGATTTGTGGTTAAATGAAGGCAATTTGCACCAAAACTGCAGATCATACTGAAACCAAGGATCCCAGGATACCCATAAGCTTAATTCCAGAAAGCATGTGAGCAGGAAAAATGTCCCATATCTTCCGGATAATCTTGTGTCATTCTATTTCTGGGAATTTTTTTTTGACTTCTGACTCCAGTTAATGTGTGGGCTGTGGATTCGAATGAGTCCTGTGGTGGTGGAGGAATGCCAGGCATTAGACTTTGGCATTAAACATGCAGTGGATCATGTTGTACAGGACCCTCCACACACATATCAAAACACTGCTCCCTAGCTAGCTGCCAGTCCCAAACGTTCATCCAACAAAACAATTCCACAGAAAAAGTGAAGCAGTGCAGCAATAAACCAAACCTGCTTCGTGTAGTTATAACTTGAGTTCTTGTTTTTACTGCAAAGTTCTTATTAACTGTTTCTTCAACTTTGTTCTGTATATAAAATTACATTGTCTATACTTTTATGTTTTCATTATTTTTAAAGGTTTTCTGTTGTATTTGTTCGTGATTATTTATTCTTATTTTTTTCTTTTGTTTTTCATTTCAGAGAATCAGCTTGTACATTTCAGGTCCTCCTTTTTTTTCCTAGATCATGCTCCGAATGATCAAAAATCATATTTTTACTTAAATACAATACTTCAGTAGGTAAATTTTAACACTAGTTATTTCTAGCTAACTGATCTGACTAAAGGTTAGACGAGAGAAAAATGTGTAATTGAAAACAAATTATTCCTGTAAATAGGTGAAACAGGAGAAACTTTGAAGCACTGTAGGGTCATTGACAATGTTGGGCAAGTTACTTTGAAAAAGTAATTAGTTATAGTTACTAGTTACTTCCTCAAATTACTAGGAAAAGTAACTATCTAAAATAAGACAAAAACATCAAATCTGAGTAGAAAAGTTATATTTTTTTACTATAACAACCACAAACATGTTTAATGAATCATTTTCATAACTTGAAATGCAAATATAAATTGTAAATTTTAAAAACCTACGCACAGGTTTTCCAAACAACAAAGCTATTTGCAGCAGCTATGTGATTGGTTTACCACGACTACTTTATTCTTCCTCAGCCAATCAGCAGCTCTTGTGTGATTGCCCCCCCCCAGCTCCCAGTAAGAAGAAGACAGCCGTCTGTGTGTTGAAAAAGAGTAACGTGTTCGCACCACATTTTCTTGTTAGTAACGGTAATGGCATTGTAATGATATAAATAGTAAGATTAGTTAGATTACTTGTTACTGAAAAAAGTAATACCATTACTTTTAATACCGTTATTCCCATCACCCCCAGCGGAATCATGGGCTGAGATTTTTCTTACTGAAAGAAGCAATGATTACAGCCTTGGCTTAATTCATAGATTACACTTTCTACTTTCTTGTTAACAACAAATGATAGATGTGAGGAACTTGTGCTTGTGTAGGCTGCTTCACTGCAATGTTAACTCATCTGATTAAATTGCTCATGGATGTGTACAGATGAGAAAAACATGATTAGCTCCAATATAAAATTTCAACCAAAAATTTAACCAATGCCTTTAAAAAAAAACCAAGAAATTTTCAATAATGCATTTCTAAACGTGCTTGTTTTCCTTAGAAAGCACGACTTTTTTCAATTTGCACACAATAATTTTTTTTTAGTAAAATACAAAAATTACCCCTGAAAAAATGACCTTTTCTGGGCCACACCACAAACCTCTTTTATGCAATGATTCAATTCAATTCAATTCAATAAAACTTTTTTTGATCCCGAAAGTTGGCCCCGAAGCTAATTTGGTTATGTGCTTTAACTTTGTAATGCTCACACAATATAACAACTTCAGAAAGGGTTCAAGCTGTCACTTGAGAAAGCTAATCATTTTTACACTGAAAGTTTTAAGTTCTTGTGAAATAATGTCCAATATAAAGGATGTGTGGGAAGCTGTGTTAAAGATTCCTTACTCTGTTCAACAGCATGGGGGGAATATAAAAGATTTCCTGTACTAATTGGTTTGTTCTCTCTTCAAACCCAGATGGAGAAATTATCAGTCAGATTAAAATGACTAATCTCGTCTTGGGTGAGATTAAAGAGCTTTTGAAGCAGCAGGTGATGCTCTGTCATAAAAATATATTTAACTACCTTTACTTGCATTTGATAACAGTTTGACTCAGGGTGCTGAGGAAATGCAAAAAGGTATTTAATCTGTTGGTTGTACTTTCCAGATTAAGGAGATTGTATTCTTAAAGAACACAGTGATGGAGTGTGAAGCCTGTGGTGAGTTCACAAGCTCCCTTATCAATGAAGGAATTATGTTTATGTCTGAGAATACACACATTATTACATCACTATTGAAATTTCACTATTATCTTTATTGAACTTCCATAATTTTCCACAACTATGAATAATGATTATGTAGTCCATTAGAATAAACGGGAGAGAGATTTGAAGACAAAAGGAAACAACTAATAATTTGCTTTGATATCCTCTTTTCTCAGCAATGGGGGGTATGCAACCTCAACCCACCTGTGTGCCCAACTCCTGCCACCCTGGGGTGAGCTTTGTGGAAACACCAGAGGGTGTAAAATGTGGACCCTGTCCTCACGGCATGGAAGGAAACGGTACCCACTGCTCTGACGTGGATGAGGTACGAGCAGAGATTTGATAAACAGTTGCTGACAGTACAGTGTTACAGGTATAACCATTGTAAGGTCAGAAAACTCTCTTCCTGACTTCGTCAACTAGAAAGTGACGAAATAGCTAAAACTTAGACTTTACTAGAAACCCAGTGAAGGACTCATCTAAATGAATGCAGGTCCTCATCCTAAAAACATCCTGATGTGTGTGTGTCTCCTTATTATGAACAGTGCACTGTGAAACCGTGCCACATGGGTGTTCGCTGCATCAACACATCCCCAGGTTTCCGCTGCGGCTCCTGCCCTGCTGGATACACTGGCCCGCAGGTCCAGGGCGTCGGTCTTGCCTACGCCACTGCCAACAAACAGGTCGGCACATTGCAGCAGTTTATGGATCCATTCAACATGAGATCAATTTGGACTTTACGTGGCCGCCCAAAGCAAACTTCCTTCTCTCTCCGACTTATTTTTCTTTTTGCCTCCTTTTTCAGTCTTAATGGTAAAGACCATTCAAGTGACTTTGCATTTGTCTTTAACTCTCTGTCCTTTTTAAGGTATGCAGAGATATTAATGAGTGTGATGGTCCCAACAATGGAGGCTGCGTGGCGAACTCCGTGTGTCTGAACACCCCCGTAAGTATGAACAAAGTGAATTTCCATGAAATTGGTGATTAGATCTAAGCCTCAGTTAGAGTCATTCTTTGTGTTGGCTGAATATTTTATTTATTTTCATCCTTAATCACTTTTGGCCGTAGTAGCAGCAGTCCTACCTTACAGCCGATACAGTATTGGAAACACAATCCTCTGGGTTAACTGCATGTAACTGTGTCCAAGACGAATTGCAACAGAATGTTTTTGAGCAGTCTCTTAATGGTTTAAACTTTATTCCTAAAATGGTAATTTAAATGAAAACAATTTCCATCCATCTATTTTCTTAACTGCCTACTCAGTTCATGGTTGCAGGGGTGCTGGAGCCTAGAAACAGGGTACAGCTT